CATCATAAATAATGACATACTATCACTTACTGAAAGTCAATGTAAAAAATTTTTAGGTCAAAAAAAATGTTCACAGTTAAAATTTACAGCATTTTACAACCTTTAGTTACGTTATTTAATGGTGTTACTTAAAATATCAATATAGGTAATTACTAGCCTGATAAGGTACACATGTACATTTTACTTACCTAAGTCTTCTTTTTTAGTTGGTGGTGCATTAGATGGAGATACCTGGGGCATAAAGTTGCCATTTTTCACAGGAGGTTGATGATTATTGGCTGATTTATCTTGTTGGCGTCTTTGTTGTAGAAGACCGTATTTTTGCAGGTAGCCATTTGGTTGTGCTTGAGGCACTTGACGGCCTTGGTAAGCTTTACTAGAAGGTCTCTGACAAGCAGATACAATACGAGTAGGTTGACCAACAGATCCTAATAATCCACCATCAATAACTGTACTGGACAATGGTGCTTTCTGTCGAGTAACTAATGCCAAATCTGACTCAACATGCGATGCTAGACTTTTATCATCACCATCTGGATGTAAACACGATTTCATAGTTTCCCATAATTGATTTATTTCATCATCAGTGGGAGTTCTATCAATTCTTAGACCATTCTCATCATAAACTGGTAAATTACCATTAGTGCTAGGTCTAGCATGTTGAGGAGGTGAAGTACTATTAGTAGCTGTTGGTACATGTTTACTAGCATGAGTCATTTTCAATTGTATAGGTGGTTTACTAGTAACTGTATGAACTGAATTGTTACCATTAACTTCAGCAGGGTTGTTTTTTGAAGATTCGATTTTAACCAGAAATTTGCTATTTACCACAGTAACTTTATTTTCTAGATGTGATTGTAAATTTTTATAATATTCCTCAGATTGTTGTGTTTGGAATGGATCGTGAGTTATAATATGGGCAGCAGCTTTAGGTTTACTTCCAGATCGAATGGTGCCAGCACTAGAAGCTCTTGGTGGTTTAGGTGCTGATGGTGGAACTTTTGACATTTTAGAAACAATTCTAGCTGATGATGGTCTTGATTTTCCTGTACATAAAATAAAATGAATATATAAATTATACATTCTTATACATAATAATTCATGTGTTTTTCAATAATTGTCACATTTTGATAACAACAAATAATATATTATAATGATAATGTGTCAAAAATTAAATAGTAAATGAGGTTTAATAATGAACAGTCCCTATCACTTACCTTTAGCACCTTTCAGATTAATTTTTTTAATTGTATCAGAACTGAATGATGACAATAAACTGTCTGGTTCTTCTTCATCACTGAGATCAGCAAACCTTACACTCTTTTTACCAGACTATAAGATAGATATTGGATTGTCTGTGTTAAGGTTAAAGAATTTTCCTTAAAAGCCATTTGGCATAAAAAATTTTACCAGCAAAATTTACCACAACTGTGAAAATTTACATTCTAAATTTGACTTCTGATAATTTTGAAGGTATTAGCCTCACTCACCTTAGGTCTCTTACAACTATCTTCTGATGACTGTCTTTTTAGTTTAATAATTTCTAAACTGTCTCGACTTTCAAAATTCTTAAAACTATTGAGACTTGGTGATTTCTTTAATATTCCAACAATATTTTCTTTACTCTCACTACGTTCTATAATAGGTGGTGTTTCCTCTACTTGTACATAACTACCTGGGAATTTGGATACTTTAGGTTTATCAACAGGAGAACTAGTAGCTATAAATGTACTTGTACCGGTTACTAATTGTCCATTAACTAAATGTAATGTCCCTGATAATATACTGCCATTTACAGGTTTACTTGCACTTGTCTTATTTGACACATCAGCTGCAGTCTTGGCACTTGTATTACCAGACTTATATTTACTATTGGATACAGAATTTGTATTCACTGTTTCAGGAATCGATCCTGTTTCATATCTCAAACCAGATGTTCCAGTATTTTGTGGTGTAACTGATACTGTACTAGCTATTTGAGAGTCTGCATTGTACCTTAAACCAGATGACCCATGATCAAAAGCTACTATGTCTGGTTTCTGAATATCAACATAAGTACCATGTGAATTAGAACTATATTTAACACTAGTTGAACCTGTATTGTAACTATTAGGGGTTGTTATAGTGTTACTGGTGGTGTTATTAGAATTAGAAGTAAAGATAGTTCTAGGTTTAACTTGAGGTGTAGGAGCTATATCATAAGTTGAAGCTGTTGATACCCTGTTATTTATATTAGACTTGTTTGGAACTGATTCAGCTTTCTCTGGTTCAACCCAAGTTTTAACATTAGATGTTGGTCTATCCATCTCCTGTACAGTGGTATCAGGTGGTACATTGGCTTGTAAAAATTGGCCATTTAAAACAAACATTGGTTTAGCATTAGACTCTAGCACAGCAGTAGATATAGATGAAGAATGTGGTACAGTAGGAATCATAGAAGTACAATGTGGTATAGTAGAAACAGTAGGCCTATATGGATGTGTCTGTTTAGGTATATCCGAATAAGACTGGTTTATCTGTTGTGGTTTTTCATAATCTTTATCATGTCTAGATTCCAGATAAAATGAATCTTTGGCACCACTAGATGCAGAAATAGGATAAATCAAATTATGTGCCAAAAGATCAATGTCATTTCTAGAATCAGATGTGTAAGTTTCATTTAAATGTTTTTTGTTTTTAAAGTTTAAACTATCCTCTAGGCTATCCACACTAGAGAAACTTTCACTGTTTTTAATTCGAGATAAACTTTTGTCTTCTTCATCTTCAATCCCATTGACTTTCCTATCACTGGCTATTTCATTAGATATAGCTTCATTAAACTCATACAGCGACTTCTGTTGTTGATCTAATAACAGTTGTTGATGTTGTTCTAATTGTTGTTCAAATAAACTTCTACTATCATTCCAATTCCTCAAACTCTTGTCCATCAATTCATTATGTTCTCTAGATTGAGGTGATGTTGGTGAGACAGGACGGTTGTGCCGTGTTTTATGGCTATTAACATAGGGTCTATTGAGGGGATCAGAAGGATAATTCCCTGCTGGTAAAGGACTGGTCCTTCCACCATGATAAACATAGCTATTTTGACGAGATACTGAAGGACTACCTCGAACTAATCTTAAGGCATCATCAATACCAGTTGAAGAGGAATATTTATATATTCTTGAACTAGTAGGTCGACTGTGGGAGATATGTGATCTTTGAAATCTTTCAGTAGCAATTTTCTGTTCTTCATGACGCTTAGCTAGAATTTCTTGCCTCCTTTTTTCTTCAGACTGAGCATCTTTCTTTCGCTTTAGAGCTTGAGCTCTGAAAAAAAAAACAGAATTTCATTAGTAATGTTTATAAACTAATACAACAAATATATTTTTTGTAGGAGAGGAGCTTTGAATTCATTAATGGTAGGTCAAGCAGAAATGAAATGATATAAAAGTAACAAATGTTAACAGAAATATATGAATCTGACAAGCAATAAAACAATATTACAATAAAGATATTCTAACTCATGACCACTATTACTTATGATCATACTGATAACTGGTAAATAATAGGGCTGCAACGATTCACCGTTGAATCTATGAACCGCGATTCGTTCCTTCTTATCGATGCATTACGGAAGAAAAAGCAATCCCGATACATCGACTCGATTCTCATAAATATAATTAATTCCCTTTAATGACTAGTAGCACGGAATCCTCGCGTATTTTAGAAATTGTGTCATGTTCAAATGTTAAAAAATTGCTTTTTCACGTATTAATTTGTCTTCAGCATTTTTAATTTTTGTTATTAACCATGAAAAGAGAACGTAGTAATATGCCAAGTGGAAGATAAACGCATGGGATCTGATATAAACCTTTTCTTTTTCCAACATAATATGTGTTTGCATGGTCATAAAATAATTCCACGAAGCTGTATTCGATGGTTTGGTATTTTATTTATTTTTTTGAAGACATTTGTTAGTCCTTGTGTGTAAGATGAAAAGTGAATTCTGTACTTCTAAGCGTGCCAAAATAATTTAAACTGTGTTAAAATGTTATTAATTTTCAGTTTTCTTTTTCATTCCCTTTTTATCAAAGAATCGCGATTTATTATCGCAATAAATCGTATCGTTGAACGTGTATCGTTCAGTGTATCGGATCGCCACGTTGCAGCCCTAGTAAATAACGATTTCTATGTTAATTTAGATATCAAGGCCAACAAATATAAAAAGTTACTTTCCAAAATATCCCAGACTTACTTTCTTCTCCTGTTTGTTTCATGAGATAACCTTTTAGCTTTAGCTATTACATCTATTTTGGCATCATAGGTGGTTGTTTTTAAAGTATCCAAGTGTTCTTTTTCCAGTGTTTGATATTTCTGTCTGATTTACATAGGTTAAGGAAAGTTTAAAATATAGTTAATTAATATTTAAGCAAACTATGACAAAATGTATTGCATATATGAAGGCAGAAGACACTGTGTGTCATAGTTCTTCTCTAAAAACAGAAAATATGAATCTCATCTTATTCTTGTTCTTTAAGATTAGTTTTTAATGTAAAGCACTGGAACAACCAAAATCCATGATTAAACCATAGAATAGTTATACATTTATGGATGATCAAAAATCAGATTCACTCACGTCTACCATGCTTTGGTAGATTTATTGAGAGGTCATTGACAATGAATGAGTGAATGATAGTTTTTTCTGGGATTTGTCACTGAAAATTTGTAGAAAAAAAAACTTTGAAGCAAAAGGATACGAATATGCTCCGGCCAACATCTTGTTACATATCCATCAATTTCTGTCACAGTTAAGAAATACATTTAGCCGATTGGTACTGAAAAACAAAGAATCATATCGACATATTCTTCTCGTGAATTGGATAATGGTTGAAGTTAGATACCGAAGTCGGCCATGTTGTTTTCGCTAACAACATGCGCAGGAATGTTCTTAATATGCCTGTGTTTGCGCAAAGGGCAAATAACTGGACGGCTTGGACGACTAAGTCCACATGCAACTTATTATATACACGACAAGATCTATAAAAGATTCCTATTGCTTCTGATATATTATCATGATGAAAAGTATACACAAATCAAAAATTCAATCGGTGTGAAGTTTAGGCCAAAATAATGTTCTGTGAACATTAAACCTTTCTTAATTGAAGGATTTTAAATCCGCTAGCTGTCCCTGCTTTTAAACATTTCTTCAAAATTATGCAAAATAACGGGTATTTTTTACTGTTGAATAGCAAATTAACGACCCTCAATGAATAAAAATGATGATAAAAGATAAACCAATTATTGCTTTTTTTATCAATTCTAATCTTCACATCATAGAAATGAGTATGTATTTTAGAAATAAGGTCTTAGTTATTTAGTTATCTATAGGCCTATGTGGAATAATCGTTTCAAACTGCTGCTTATGTGATAAGTGTTGTCCACACTTTTGTGAATGGCTAGGCTATTGCAGTCAAGGTATGAAACGAAGTTCATAGATCTAGTAGATTGACATTGCGAAACACAAAACTGTTTTGAAAGTTGTGTATGAGGGACGTCGACTCGAAATATTAAGACTTTAAATAAAAAACCGTCTAAAATCTATGAAAACTTCTAGAAGAGAGCTGAGATGAAAAAAAAACATATTCTTATACAGAGAGAAATTTAAGACTTTTACCCAAGAATCAATTAGTGGAAAAGACAAAGAAAATAAAATCTTCTTACCATTTTTAATGTCTGTAATATGTCTGAATATATAGTACTAATGCAGGAGCATTCATCCGAAAATCACGTAGCAACGCCGTTTAAACATTTTTTTTTTGCGATACTCTTGACTCAAGAGATTCTTATTTATATAAAGAAAGATGAAGTGAATGGAATAATCGTTAAATCATCTGTAGATTGTGATATTGATCATGGAAGTGTCTATGTAAAATATTTTAACAGAATTAAATATTTATCACACCCAGAAACAACATCATAAAGTTAGCTTCTTGAATTATATGTGTGTTTTTATTGATTTAGGTCTACTAATGCAGAAGGGTCTTGAACTTGATCTACCTACAGCGCCCCGGGTTTCGCTTTTCTACAATAATCGCTCTGTAATACTGTTTTTCATATTATGCTATAGGTTTACAAAGTCGCGATTCAGGACATTGAAATCGTGGTGATAATCGTTGTCTAATCGTGATAATCTTATCAGATCTTGGGTAGGTCATAAGGCTACAATTCTGACTATAGTATTAAGCCTTGAAACTTTTTGGACTGTTCAAAAATTTTCTACAATTAACACTAAACATTGTCAATCATGATACGATCGCACTGTTTTGTAGCAAAGCGTGACGGATCGCCTTTAATAGAACTTTTACAACAAGATTGCCACGTCTGACTTCATGATCTGAAGATGTGATAGGATCGCTGCCATTAATCCGCGATTAAGAACAAGATTTTCGTGAATCGTAATAGTGGAACAACCTAACCCTAATGGAGCTCATCTGTTATTAATGTACGCATCCGAACGTATCTGTACGTACAGTCCCTGTTTTGAGAACCAGATCTTGCTGATCGTGTCATATCGAGGCCCTATCGGAACTTATCTAAACCGAAGTTCATACTGTGTAAGTAAGAATTGACAAATCGTAAACAGATCATTTACACGCTCAATAAATAGTTTGGAAACGTATTGACACGCCTCTGGGATTTAAGAGAAATTCGACGACCAGCGACGAAGAGTCAATCGTGAAGTTGGAACGGGTCGCACGACTGTGGAAACCTACGACCCTTGCATAAATGACCTGACAGTCATAAATTCAGCATAAGACACACACATAATTTTATTTATGGGATCATTAAATTCATCTAGTAAAAAACCTATACCTCTCCGGTCAAAATTGGAAAAGTTCTAGCCGATGAATCGTGGGGAAGGTCTGGACTTCTGTTTTCGACTGAAATAGGACACATCTTAGTGACATTGTGCTGACTTTCAGATTACTACAATCGGATGTTTGCCTGATATCGTACTTTTAGTGCAAGGAACTTACCTAAATTAACCCTTCGTAGAACATTTTCTTTAATAGTGATTATATCTTCATGGTAAATTTTCGCAATAAAAATTGTACACTTTCCAATTTTATGTTCAAGAATGAAATAGGCACGAGGCACGCTCTACTTTAACCTACTAAAATTATACCCGTAAAAAAATAATTATGATATCAATCTTCGAGAAGATTTAAAACAGCTCAGTCTTTTCACTTAAACTTCACAGATTAAGGTACAAAATTTAGAAAATCTTAGATCAGTGGTTTTTTAACCTGTTTTTGTATGTGTCCCCAAATCGAATCGGCATGAAAATGATGTCCCCAAATATCGAAAGCGTATCTATGATTGGATAGCAGTCACGTTCTCGCATAAATTGATAATAATAATTCTCTGAGTACTCCTAGACAATGTTAATTTAGGCTGTGTATATTGTAGTCATCATATGAGATGTTGTATATATTGAAAATTTTTATTTTCACAGCATGTGACTGGCTGTGACACATCAAATGTCCACAAAGAAAAGTGCAAATGTCCCAATGGTTGAAAACCTACGCTTTAGATCGAAATTATCAGAGATGACAGCCTTTGCAGACATTGGTGAACTCGCATTGTCTTACCTTGTATAATGTACCCTAAACAATAAAGACAATTGAATAACGACCACGGTCAGGGAATATTGGCACTCAAACCAGTGTAACGTAGACAATTTATCTCCACAGCAATTAACGAAATCGATCTCCAAACCTCTAGGTGCAGAATATTTTGGAGTGGCAAAAATTTGGAAAAAACCTTTGTTGTCAGTGAACAATACTGGTGAATTACTCCCCTTTCTATAGTTCGTATTTTTCAAAACGTTACCTGATCCTGATCTTTAAGTTTAAGTGGGATTCTTGCCATTCAATCAATGATAATTGTTGTATGCTATTGAACAGACGTTTGGATATCGCTGTAACTTCAGGGTGTGAAGGAATAAGATCTGAAGGGCATCATGGTAAACATCAAATAATCGAATAGGCCTAAAGTCACGATAAACATAAGATGTATAAGATACCCTCATGAGAAACATTGAATGATCATATTATAAGTCAAGTTTGGACATCAAATAATAATAATGTCACGCCGAACATTAATTGCTAGTAGCCTAATGTCATGACGAACAAATAACGTCAAGTAAACATCAACTTTTAGTTATGACATGATGAACACAGAATAACGTCAAGATGAACATCAAGTAATAGTAATGTCATGATGAACAAGCACTAGTAAGGTCATGATTTACAAGCACTAGTGAGGTCATGATGAACAAGCACTAGTAAGGTCGTAATGGCAATCAAATACAAGTAATGTCATAATGAACACAGAATAACGTCAAGATGAATATCAAACGCTAGTAATATGCGACGAGGAACAGAGAATATCAGTCACTAGTAATGTCACGATGAACTGAGAATAACGTAAAGATGAATATCAAACACGAGTAATGCGACGATACAGAGAATAACTTCAAGGTGAATATCAAACACTAGAATTGACAAGATGAACAGAGAATAACGTCAAGATGCATATCGAATGCTAGTAATATGCGACGAGGAACAGAGAATATCAGTCACTAGTAATGTCACGATGAACTGAGAATAACGTAAAGATGAATATCGAACACGAGTAACGCGACGATACAGAGAATAGCTTCAAGATGGATATCAAACACTAGAATTGTCAAGATGAACAGAGAATAACGTTAAGATGCATATCGAATGCTAGTAATGTTATGATAAACATAGAATAACGTATAGATGAATATCGATTGCTAGTAATGTTACGATAAACACAGAATTATGCTAGTAATGTTATGATAAACATAAAATAACGTCAAGATAAATATCAAACACAGAATAACGTCAAGATGAATATCGAATGCTAGTAATGTCATGATAAACACAAAATAACGTCAAAATGAATATCGATTGCTAGTAATGTCGTGATAAACACTAGAATAACGTCAAGATGAATATCGAATGCTAGTAATGTCATGATAAACACAAAATAACGTCAAGATGAATATCGATTGCTAGTAATGTCATGATAAACACAAAATAACGTCAAAATGAATATCGATTGCTAGTAATGTCATGATAAACACAGAATAACGTCAAGATGAATATCGATTGCTAGTAATATCATGATAAACACAAAATAACGTCAAGATGAATATCGATTGCTAGTAATGTCATGATAAACACAGAATAACGTCAAGATGAATATCGATTGCTAGTAATATCATGATAAACACAATATAACGCCAAGATGAATATCGATTGCTAGTAATGTCATGATAAACACTAGAATAACGTCAAGATGAATATCAAACACAGAATAACGTAAAGATGAATATCGATTGATAGTAATGTCATGATAAACACTAGAATAATGTCAAGATGAATATCGATTGCTTGTAATGTCATGATAAACACTAGAATAACGTCAAGATGAATATCGATTGCTAGTAATGTCATGATAAACACTAGAATAACGTCAAGATGAATATCAAACACAGAATAACGTCAAGATGAATATCGATTGCTAGTAATGTCATGATAAACATTAGAATAACGTCAAGATGAATATCGATTGCTAGTAATGTCATGATAAACACTAGAATAACGTCAAGATGAATATCGATTGCTAGTAATGTCATGATAAACACAGAATAACGTCAAGATGAATATCGAATGCTAGTAATGTCATGATAAACGCTAGAATAACGTCAAGATGAATATCGATTGCTAGTAATGTCATGATAAACACTAGAATAACGTCAAGATGAATATCGATTGCTAGTAATGTCATGATAAACACTAGAATAACGTCAAGTTGAATATCGATTGCTAGTAGTGTCATGATAAACACAGAATAACGTCAAGATGAATATCGAATGCTAGTAATGTCATGATAAACGCTAGAATAACGTCAAGATGAATATCAAACACAGAATAACGTCAACATGAATATCTATTGCTAGTAATGTCATGATAAACACGAGAATAACGTCAAGATGAATATCGATTGCTAGTAATGTCATGATAAACATTAGAAGAACGTCAAGATGAATATCAAACACAGAATAACGTCAAGATGAATATCGATTGATAGTAATGTCATGATAAACACGAGAATAACGTCAAGATGAATATCGAATGCTAGTAATGTCACGATAAACATTAGAAGAACGTCAAGATGAATATCGATTGCTATTAATATTGGTTAATTGGTTAATCATTGATTAACTATCATCGTGAACGTTAAAAAGCAAAACTATCTAGAATTTTATATGACCAAATGTTTATTCGTCACGATATTTGATCTTCAGTGATTCAAAAGTACTGGGGAATAAAAAAAATAACGCCAGGACCTGCTTGCAACTATAACAGAAATAGTTACTCCTTTTCACCAATAGGTAGGCTAATTGTTATCGTTAGAAAACGTTTTTAATTTGGCAATAATTTCGACACGGATTGTAATTATTTGACTTGGTTGGTAAGTCTTCGGAACATTAGTGGGAAAAAAACACACAGTTAACTGATTTTTTCAAAATTTCAGTCCTTGTTCATCTGAGTTTCTGGAACCAGTGAGAAGATAATAAGATGTGATTCTCTTGATAGACTTCATATTCTATAAATATAAACACATAG